AGTTAAGGGTTTAGTACAGTGGCCAACAGCAGTTACTATTCCATCAGTAGCAGATGTGGTTATGAGGCAATGAGAAACATGCTTTTGGGGATGGTTAACTTAATGCTGGGACGACAGGACACCTGAGCAGAGAGAGAGCAAGTAGGAAGCTATTGCCACAGCCAAGGTTAAAGGTAATAGCAGAGAGGAAAGGTAACAAGCAGAAACCAGGAGCAGAGCTGGCGTTGCACGGATGGGACGAAAAGAGGAGAGGGAGGTGGGAGGAAGAGAGAGAGGGAAGGGGGGAGGGAAGAATGGACAGATGGGTGGATGACTAGACAGACACAGAGAGGCAGAGTCATAGGAACTGTTAACTGATGGAGTAGAGGGTTGACAGTGTTAGAGATAACACAGGGTCTAGCAGTAAATTTGGGACAGGCTGGATGCATAAGAAATGTGAGCTGAAAGGAAGGAAGGAGAGGGAGGGAAACTATAAAGGCTTCAATTCCAGGTGACTCGCACCGAGGGCCACTGAAAGACACACACGTATCAGGGAGAATTTGCTTTGGCAGAGAACGTGATGGGTTCCACGTTAAGTCTCAAAAATAACATAAACAGAAATAAGCCTCTCCAAGGCCCAGGGACAGGCTGCTCTGTAGCCCAAGGAAAAGGCAAAATATAGTTGGGATAGGGTGTTATTGTTACAGGATCTCTCTCTCTGTGTAAGAGATTTCTCTATAATGGATCTTCTACAAATTTCGATGACCCCTACATAAGATAGAACAGTAAGTTTTTGACTAGTAAGTCAGTATTTCCTATATGGATGTCTATTCCATTCGAAGGCAAAAAGCTACTTGAGACCTTAGACTGGGCAATTTTCTTTTACCTCCCACAGTGTGAGACCCAAAAACATGGCATGCAGCTTTTCAACCTGAATAAACATTAAAAATAGTTGAAACCTACTATAAATATTCATGTAGAGCCCTCACAGAACTCTGAAAACTGAAGGGAGAAAGTCAAAGGCAGGCAAATGAAAAATATATTATAATACTTCATGGTTATGTGATTCCATGATTATAATCAAATGTATTAGCTTCATTTAGTCACTAAACCAACTCTGGATTCAAATCAAAACTGCATGCCAAGCTCTAGTTTTAACTACAGAAAAAAATGAAAGAACTGGCAAATTCTTCTAAAAAGAATCTAATATTACCTCCTACTGTAAATAATGAACATAAGCCAAAGGATCCATTTCCACGTCTCACAACTTAGTTTACAAGTCAAGACTTCTCCCTACTTAAACCTAATGTCAACACTCTCATCAGTAAAGAGACACAGTCTTTGAAAATTAGATTTACATTACTGACCTGCATTATTTTTTTCCAAACACTACTATGTTAATACTGAAATAAACACTCTCAATACAATATTTATCGCTGAGACTAGCCTATCTTATTATAAGACTCTTTGAGCTGTCCCAGGCTAAAATAAACTATGACCAAAGAGTTAGTAGAAGACATTTTCATCAACTACATTCAGACTCATACTTTTGAGAATTTGGTTCCATTGCAATTGGTTCACTAACTAGTATTTTATATTTTTTTATTAGAAAAAGAGAGAGGGAATACACGTGTGAGTGGGGGAGAGGGGCAGGGGAAGAGAGAATCTCAAGCAGGCTGCATACTCAGTGCAGAGTTCAACACGGGGCTCGATCCCACAACCCTGGGATCATGACCTGAGCTGAAACCAGCAGTGGAATGCTCAACCGACTGAGTCACCCAGGTGCCCACTAGTATTTTCATAAATGAACCACTGACATCTGGGAAATTAGTAATTACAATTTAAAATTTTTTTACTTTATTTTATTATTTTTTTGAGAGAGCGAGCAAGCGAGCAAGCAGGGGAGAGGGGCAGACGGAGAGAGAATCTCAAGCAGGCTCCACGCTTAGCATAGAGCCCTATGCAGGGCTCAATCTGACGTCCCTGGGACCATGACCTGAGCCAAAATCAAGAGTTGGATGCTCAACTGACTGAGCCCCCCAGGTGCCCCATAATTTAAAATTTTTTGATTCAAGGGGCGTCTGGGGAGCTCAGTCAGTTGAGTGTCCAACTTCGGCTCAGGTTATGATCTCATGGTTCGTGAGTTCAAGCCCTGAATCGGGCTTGCTGCTGTCAGTGTGGAGCCTGCTTTGGATCCTCTGTCCCCCTCTCTCTTCCCTTCCCCTGCGTGCACTCTCTCTCTCTCTCAAAAATAAATAAAACATTAAAAAAAATTTGTTGATTCACACTTCAAATGGGATCAAATTCTTACCTGAGAATAGTACAGAAACCATGAAAGAGGAAACTGGGTTGTACATTGACAACTAGCTTTTAATTTATTCAGTAAGTATCTATATAAGCCCTGAAAACCTAAAGATACAAAAACTGTTACCTGTGAAGACTATAAGAACTTACAGTCTATTAGAGGGAGACATGAACATCAGTTTGGTACAGAAACATACAACTAAGGAATAAAACAAAATGCTGAGCCTCCAGCAAAGCAGGACTTGACTCTGTCACAAAAATCACACAATCAAGCTAATGCCAATCAGAACAGATACACAGGGGCTCCTGGGTGGCTCTGTCGGTTAAGCGGCTGACTTCAGCTCAGGTCATGATCTCAAGTTCGTGTGTTTGAGCCCCCCCGTCGGGCTCTGTGCTGACAGCTCAGAGCCTGGAGCCTGCTTCAGATTCTGTATCTCCTTCTCTCTCTGACCCTCCTCTGCTCATGCTGTCTCTCTCTCTCTCTCAGAAATAAATAAAACATTAAAAAAATAAATAACGTAAAAAAGAACAGATATACAAACACACTGCATTAACCTTAAAAATATTATTTAAAAAATCAGAAGTATGAGAAAACCAGAAGTTAAACATCAAATTTAAAAAGTATAGATGAAGGGCACCTGGGTGGCTCAGTCAGTTAAACGTCCAATTTCAGCTCAGATCATGATCTCAATTTATAAACTCAAGCCTCACATCGGGCTCTCTGCTGTCAGCACAGAGCCAGCTTTGGATCCTCTGGCCCCCACCTTTCTGCCCCTCCCCCCCAAAATAAATAAACATTAAAAAATTATTTTTAAGTATAGGTGAGTATTAGCCAGCTCTATGTTGTCCAGAATGTGACAATTTAAGAAGGATATTTGAGTATTTGAGTTGTAAACAGACACTTACTAGTTAACTATAAAAGCTTTCAGTGTTTGCTTTCCCTGGTAATTAATTCGTGGTGATACATATTCAAGAAATGACAGTACGGCAGGGTGAAACTGAGTACTGAGGTTAGAATCACAGGACAGAAATCTTGAGCCTCCTAGATACCTTAGGCAAGTTATTTCATCTTCCAAAGATCTCTTTCAGCTCTAAAGGTCTGTGATTTTAGAAATCATTAGCTAAGGAAATTTTATATTAAAACCATTTTGGACACCTCCTCTAATCCCCACCCAAGTAAAAAGAGCCACTCAATTCTCTTCCCCAACTGCACTTTATACAAACAGATTTCCAGAATAAGAGCCAGCAATGTATTTGTTTTCTGTCTTTTCTTCCCATAAAATGGATTATTGCTGAGGGCAGGGGCCACACCTTATTTGTTATATTCTGATACCAGCCACGGTGCCCGGCACAGACTAGGCACTGCACTGGTGGGGAGGGAAGAATGGACTAGATGGACAGGGGAGGTGTGGGGAGAGGCACGGACACACAGAAGTGGAGTGGGGGTGGGGTGGGGGGGGAAGCAGGAGGAAAGGAGAGAAAAGAGGAGAGAGGGAAATTCTACTTCCTGTAGAGGTGATGTAGGTGGGCCCTGACAGGGACTCAATGACTTCTTGTCATCTTTGGATATTTTCCCAGTTTCTACCAAAAGTAGTTCCACAATTACTCAAGCCCACGATCTGCCAGTTTAGACAACAGTAACTTGCTTTATTGTTACACAGGTAACAGTTGTTATGACTCTATTTTTAAAAAGTGTCAAACATCTCTATAGAACCACCTGCATTTTGAACCAGCATGCTAATAAGTAACTTAAAAACACAGGACAGGGATGGGGGGTGGGGGGCTGGGGGGCTCAGTTGGTTAAGCTTCGGACTTCAGCTCGGGTCATGATCTCACTGTTTGTGGGTTCAAGCCCCGCGTTGTGCTGACAGCTAGCTCAGAGCCTGGAGCCTGCTTCAGATTCTGTGTCTCCCTCTCTCTCTGACCCTCCCCTGCTCACACTGTCTCTCTCTCTATCTCTCAGAAATAAATAAAACATTTAAAAAAAAACACACACACACAAGACGAGGCGCCTGGGTGTCTCAGTCAGTTAATCAGCCGACTTCGGCTCAGGTCATGATCTTGCAGTCTGTGAGTTCGAGCCCCACGTCGGGCTGTGTGCTGACAGCTCAGAGCCTGGAGCCTGCTTTGGATTCTGTGTCTCGCTTTCTTTCTGCCCCTCCCCTGCTCAGGCTCTGTCTCCCTCTGTCTCTCAATAACAAATAAGCATTAAAAGTTTTTTTAAAAAACACACAGGACATATTAAATTCTTTTTAGAGGCCCCATTATACCTTGGTTTTTACCTTGTACATAAAATATCCTCTATATTAAAGGGGGTGAAAAAGTTTTCATAGAATGGTACCTTCTCAGAATTGAGTTCCTTGATTCTGGTAATTGGATTGAAGTTATACAAGACAATGTGCATGCTTGTAGGATATATACATTTTAGTAGTCATGGGTAAGGGGGCATGAACCCCCTGATATACTCTTGAAATAATTAAGAAAAATACATAAATGTATGTGTGAGTACATATACGATAGGAAGAGACAGAAAAAGAGAAAGAAAATGGAGCAAAATGGGTGAATCTGGATAATGGATATATTATTCTTGTGGCTTTTCTATAAACTTGAAATATCAAATCAAAATATTACCCCAAAAAGTTAATTGCTCACACATATGCACACATAGACAACAACAGTGATGTAAGTAAAACCATATTATTATTAAAGTTACTCACATGGAATTGAACATTCCCATTAGGGCAGTAAAACAAAAGCCAATTGCGAACATGGATTTCATCCGGACCTATAAAAAGACCAACAACTGTCATTCCACACTAAGGAAAACCACCCCTAATGCCCACCCCCAAAAGTTTGGTTTCCTGTCATGTTTAAACGGCACTTCACGGCAAAAGGCTGTTTATTGGCTCAGCCAGCCTCCACCTCCCAGCCCTTCTCCGTGCCCCCTACTGATGAATGCTTCAGGGGTAGCTGTACAACCCAATTCTGGCTAATGACTCACAAGTACTGAATGGAACTTTGAAAAGGGACGAACTTGGCCAGCTTCCCTTTAGGCCTTTGGCTCATTCTTCTTGCCCAGAACGAAGAACATAGCACCTGAAGGTAAAGCATTATCAAAAACCCAAACAACCATGATCTAAGGATGGCTAACTTAAGTCCCTAATGACATTACCAAGCTGCCACACCAGCCCAGGATGACCGAACTCTGGACTTCTTCACCAAGTAAAAAAATCTTTATCTGTTTAAGTCATTGTCGGTTAAGTATTCTGCTACTTACAGCTACCTTCTTACTCAATTACGTATGTGTAAAAGTATAAGTAATTAAAAGATCAGAAAAATGTAAGATTAATAGTTGTTATTTCCCAGGGCACATGGGTGTCTCTGTTAAGCATCCAACTCTTGATTTCAGCTCAGGTCATGATCTCACAGTTTGTGAATTCGAGCCCCTAGTTGGGCTCTGCACTGGCAGTGTGAAACCTGCTTGAGATTCTCTCTCTCTTTCTCTCTCTCTCTCTCTCTCCCCACTCCTCTCTGCACTTCCCCTGCTCAAGTTCTCTCTCTCTCTTCAAATAAATAAATGAGTTTTAAAAAAAATAACTGTTATCGCTGGATGACAGGCTTATCAGCAATTTTTCTCTCTTCTTTCTGTAGTTTCTGAATTTGGTGGTGTAAACATTTATAATTATGTCAGCAGAAAAGTTATTTTCAAAAAGATGCTCTTCTAAATTAAAGCCTTACTTAATAAGAATTTTAAGAAATGGAAGACAATATAGCAAAGATCTTTTGGTAAGCAAAGGGGACTGTTGCCCAGTTTGGATGTCCTCTGCTAAACATACAGAAATTAAATAGAAAAATTAGCCAAGCCTATAATTAGCCTACCTGTGCCTTAGAGAGACAGGCTTGAATAATCTCTACCGTTTACAAATAATGAGTAAATGGGCAATAAAATCACTTGTCTTTACACTTTATGGTATGCCTGACACTCGGGACAAGAGGCCTCTAAAGAACAAAGGCAACAATAAAGGCCATCTCTAAGGCTCCAACCCAGACACTGGGCTGACAGAGGTCACCAGAAAACTAAAGATTCAGCGATGACATGAGAGCGAGAAGAAAATAGATACTACGGGGGCTTCTAGGGGACTCAGTCAGTTAAGCACCCGACTTCGGCTCAGGTCACAGTCTCGTGGTTCTTGAGTTCGAGCCCTGAGTCGGGCTCTGCACTGAGCGTGCGGAGCCTGCTCGGGATTCTTTCCCTTCCTTTCTGCCCCTCCCCTGTGCACACGTGTGCTTGCTCTCTCTCTCAAAATAAATTAAAAAAAAAAAAAAGAAAGAAAACAAACTACTTCATTTGAAACATACGGGGGGAGCTAATCAAGACCTGTGTGAGAGGGATAAATTATGCACTCTGGATAGCTCAGAAGCTCTTCTTACTACTGAAATCAAAGTTTGAGCCCAGGAGGATGTTTTCACTTCTGTCTGGTCAGGGAACACCCAGGACATTATGGGGTAAACTTCTGAAAAGGTAAGTATAGTGTGCTTAGTGCAGATCAGGGTCTTTTGCTAAAAAACATTTTGTAGTTTACCACAAAACTATACTTATGACTCTTACCATTGATAGGTCTCTGTTGTTATTTTTCAGTTTCTCTTCTTGCCTCTCTGAAAAGAATTAACAAACTGGTTACTATACACAGTGCTGAGTGCAAATCAGATGTTACGCTGTCACTGACTGGTGACTATAAAAGCACTTCTGTCTCAGCATCACTTAAGAAGATGAGCAGAATACCTAGAACACTGTATACTTTGTATTAGCAGAAAATCCAAATGCAGCAGAGCACTAAAATATTTCAATTTAAATAAGATAAAAAAACTAAAAAACATTTTTTAAATGTTTATTCATTTTTGAGAGAGAGAGAGAGAGAGAGAGAGCAGGGGAGGGGCAGAGAGAGAGACACACACAGAATCTGAAGCAGGCTCCAGGCTCTGAGCTGTCAGCACAGAGACCAACATGGGGCTTGAACCCGTGAACCATAGGATCATGACCTGAGCCGGAGTCAGGCACTTAACTGACTGAGCCACCCAGGTGCCCCTAAAATAAAATAAAAACCTTTAGGGATTAGGTAAAAATTGGGGTGCCTGGGTGACTCAGTCGGTTGAGCGTCCGACTTCGGCTCAGGTCATGATCTCACGGTTTGTAGGTTTGAGCCCTGTGTCGGGCACTGTGCTGACAGCTCAGAGCCTGGAGTCTGTCTTCGGATTCTGTGTTTCTCTTTCTCTGACCCACCCCTGCTCACGCTGTCTCTCTCTCTCAAAAATAAATAAAACATTAAAAAAAATTTTTTTAATTACCTCTGTAATTGAGTGTCTTAAACTTTACCTTAAGATATACTTTTATATTACACTGATAGAAAGCGTAAACATAATGAGGGCATTTAGGTTTCAAACATGAGTTACTCATCTCTTATGTTTTTATTTCTCTTTCAGTTTCTTCAAGAGAGCATAGTCTAAAATATAAAAGCCAATCAAGATCAATTTAAAATTTAAGTTTTTCATATTACAGACTAATTACTCGACAAATAAACACAGTTTTATAGCTAAGTCAAAGAATTTTTTTTAAATATTTTTTTATTTATTTCTAGGAGAGAGAGAGAGAGAGACAGCGTGAGCAGGGGAGGGTCAGAGAGAGAGGGAGTCACAGACTGAAACAGGCTCCAGGCTCTGAGCTGGCAGTCAGCACAGAGCCCGACGCGGGGCTCGAACCCACGAACCGCGAGATCATGACCTAAGCGAAAGTCGGACGCTTAACCGACTAAGCCACCCAGGCGCCCCTATAGCTAAGTCACTTAAAAGCTAGAAAATTTTGACTTAGATTTCAAGAAAGTTGTTATATACGTACAACCCAAGGAAGTCTCAACTGTACATGAATGCTCTTATTTACTGTACTCCATCAACATAAGGGACTTCACTGTTTCTATGAAGAAACTGAGACCCTGCAAAGGGTCAGTGACTTGACAGAGACCAACCACACAGGCCAGGACTAGAATCCAAGTTTCCCACCTTCTAACCCAATGATCTCTATATACACTATGCTACCACTCGCTTCGATCGTGTATTATTATCACCAGGATCAACTTATTCAACAAATACTTATGGATTACCTACTATATGCCAGGCACTTTTCTGAGCAGTGGGGATACATGAATGAACAAAGCACACAAAAATCCCCACCCTCATAGGAAGATTATAAAAAATATATTAAATGTCCTCTAAAAAAAATCTACCATGAGCATTAACTGGTGTGAGGGCTTGCCAATTTGCGCAGGTAAAGGAAAGGAGGATCAAGAACAGGCCTAGGGCTGCAGTTTCCCAACGGTACACAGCTGGGTGAATAGGTGATCCCTTGCCCTGAACTGCTCTTGTCCAGTCTGTTCTCCCTGGGAGGGGAGGGTATAAGCAGGAGAGAGTGGGAAGCTGTAGCTTCGTGGGAGAAGATGAGCAAAAGGAAATGAAGCTCAGGTCTATCTTGGGGGAAGGAGCTCTTTCGCTATCTGGGCAGTCTTCCTACAATGCAACAAGACGTTTTTAAATTGCGGGGTTGAGGACTCGGGTAGGAGACGGTGATAAGGTAGGCCTAAAATAACTAGAGAGGGAAGGGACTACCACTAGGAAATTTGTAAAAAGGGAAAGTACAGGCACCTGGGTGGCTCAGTCGGTTAAGTATCCAACTTTGGCTCAGGTCATGATCTCATGGTTCGTAGGTTCGAGCCCTGCTTCGGGCTCTGTAGTGACAGCCAGCTCAGAGCCTGGAGCCTGCTTCGGATTCTGTGTCTCCCTCTATCTCCGCCCCTCCCCTGCTCATGATCTGTCTCTCTCAAATAAACTTTTAAAAAATTAAAATAAAAAAATAAAATAAAGGTACAGAAAATCACTTATGCTAGAAACTGTGGCATATCCCTGACTCCCCACTTTCTCATCCAATCAAACACCACATCCTATTAATTTTACCTCGTATTTATGAAACCCTCCCCCCGCTCACCTCCTTCCTACCACGTCCTTAGTTAGCATTTCTAACACCTCTTACCTATATTATTTCAAATCTCCCAGCATGTCTCACTGCCTCCAAACTTGCTACCTCAAGTCCATCTTCCACGTAGCTGCCTGTCAGATCTACCTGATATGCAAAACTGACCAAAATTATGATACTCCCTAGCTTAAAATCCTGATACGGCTTTTCGTCCCCAAGATCCTGTTCCAACATCACCTGCAAGTCTACTGTCTGGCCCTGCTTATTCTGCAGCCCCATTTCCAATCTCCACCCCCCCCCCATTAATATTTATGTTCCTGCAACACCAAACAACTCTAGGCCACTCTCTATATGAAGGTTTTTCAAGATTCAATGTTGTTATTCGTGAAGTCCTTTCTACTTGGATGATGAACTGTCCCAATTTTCCCTGGATTGTTCCAATTTTAGCTCTGAAAACCACACATCCAAAGAACTCCTCAGTCTTGACCAACTGGGATTTCTACCTAGAACATTTTATCCTGTCCCTATCCAACTGCTTCCTCGCTGGCTCGTACTCAAGTTTTATTTTATTTTTTTAATTTTTATTTATGTATTTTTGAGAGAGAAAGAGTGTGAGCAGGGGAGGAACACAGAGAGAGGGAGACACAGAATCTGGAGCAGGCTCCAGGCTGTAAGCTGGTAGCACAGAGCCTGACATGGGGCTCTAACCCATTAACAGTGAGATCATGACCTGAGCTGAAGTTGGACACTTAACCAACTTAGCCACCCAGGCGCCCCAGTACTCAACATTATAAACCTCAGCTCTGTCTCATTTTCTTTTGAAAATATTGATTCCTTGGTCACTATTATTCTAGAGAGCTTTCTACAATATAAAAATATTCTGTCTCTGTGCTGCCAATAAAATAGTCACTAACTACATGTGGTTCCTGAAAAAAGAAAATGTGGCCAGTGTGATAGAGTGGCTAAAATTTTAACTTAATTTAACTGTAATTAATTTAAAAAGCCAAATGTAGCTAATGGCTGCTATACTAGACAATGTAGTCTTGGACACTGGATTAGAAGTCTTTCTTTATGCTTCCAGAATATTTCATGTAGATCTTTATCATTATACTCACTGAATTTGTACATTCTGTTATAACGATCTGTTTATATACCCATTGACCCAACTAGGTGGTAGGCTGTTGGAGAGCAAGGCATCTCTATGCCTTCTTCATCTCTGTATCCTCAGTAACTGGCAAGGGGTTAGTTGCTCAAAATTGTAGTGTGTGCTCAATAACTGTTTCATGAATGACTCAGCAATATAACAAAAGTGGGTATGAAGATAAAGCACACCAAAAATCCTTTTCTAGGAAGAGTAGTCCTTTATGATAAAGCTGGTAGCCTAAAGAGGCAGAAAAAGCACAAAGAGCCTCAAAGTTGAGAGCAAACTAAAGTGATATAGTTTTTCTGAAGCTCTATTTAACTTTTTTCCAATTATGTCCAAACAGAAACTATAACCGTAAGTATTGTCAAGGTAGGCTGTATGGGTACATGGCTTACGAATATAGCAACACAGGTGTATAATACATGTCAGCACTACTATCGTTCTTTAAGTTTCTCCACTTCAAACTGCTATTTAGTACGGACCATATACAAATAAAGCAATTTAGTTGGGTTTTAACTAATTCAGAAATAAGTTAATATTCACTGGATTTTGGAAGAGGTGCAAAATGCAAATTTCTTCGATGTTTGCTTTCACTCCTGACTCACCCGGGTAGATTCACAGCAGAGCATGATTGGCTGTACAAGATGTAGTCAGGTGGTACAGAAGCTAAGACTAATTCTCCACACAGGCATTTTATTCACGGGCAAGTAACAGCTGATTATGTCTGAGGCTGCCTAAAGGGTGTATGTTACGTGCTCCAATGATTTCACTTTTCCCTCGGGACCATTCCCAACAGACTAGAACAAAAAAGACAGTATATAAAAAGGTAAAGTTGATTTTAAAAAAGACACCTTGGGGCAGCTGATTTCAGCTCAGGTCATGATCTCACGGGTACGTGGGATAAAGCCTTGTATCGGGCTCTGTGCTAACAGCATGGAGTCTGCTTGGGATTCTCTCTCCCTCCCTCTCTCTCTGCCCCTCCCTTGCATGCATGCACACACACACACACACACACACACACACACACTCTCTCTCTCTCTCTCTCTCATTCAAAATAAATAAACGTTAAAAAAAACATGTAAAGTGCTTACTTAAGTGTGTTGTAGGTGGTAAAGTACTCAATGAATTCCAACCACTATTTTATTTACTTATATTTTTATTTAACTAATTCACACTAAAGCTTTAAGATTCAACTAAAACATCATTTCTTCAAGGAAAACTGACGCCCTAGCTTGGCTTAGATCCACTTTCTCTTTACTTTTATAACACTTAGAATATGTGTCTACAAAAGTATTTCCCATACTGCATTGGTCTGTTTTCTCTCTCTGGACAGATTTCTAATAGACAGAATTTTTTCTGCTTTGTTTCTCTGGTGCGACTGGAGCACCCGAGCCAGAGTAGTCTGACAGCTGCATCCTGACACGGAGCTAAATGAGTAACCCGTTTGGAAAACATCAGACACACTAAATTCAAAAGCTTTAATCAGAACAGGACGGCGGCATAGTCCAGCTTGATAGAATTCTCTCCTAGGATATAATTAATGGCAGTGACCTAGGTAGAAACATAGTTCCTGAACCAAACACACAGTTTCACAGTTTTTTCCTGATTTCAGAATCAGGAAGTATCATAAAGTATAAATACAAATTATATCTAATCACTTATCTTTTTGGAACAGAATTAAGTCTTGTAATTAAGTTCTAAAATACACTGAAAACTCAAAAACATGTGTTACTTTCCACACCAGATAAAAATTACTCGGCAGAAAATTTCCTACCCGCTGGTGGATTTCCACCATCAGTCAATTCTCAGTAAGGAAGCCATGGCAACAATACAAGTTACTCAGACTTAACTGGAAATAATCATGTCAGACATGAAAAAAAAATACACTTTTATCAAACTATGCCAAGAACCCTCAGCCAAGTTCAAAAGCCGTTACGGTCAGCATCATTTTACTAAAACTAAAATTTCAAAGTTAAGAGCAAAAAAGTAGCAATTGCTTGAGCTTATCCTACAAAGTGGACAAGAGATAGTCAAGTTAAGGATACGTGTGTAAATGCTTTGTAAACCACAAAATTAGACAAACATGAGTTACCATTGTTAACAACTACCTTACATTTTCATTACTTAAGAATTTATTTTTCTGGGGTGCCTGGGTGGCTCAGTCGGTTAAGCGTCTGACTTCAGCTCAGGTCATGATCTCACAGTTTGTGGGTTCGAGCCCCGCGTCGGGCTCTGTGCTGACAGCTCAGAGCCTGGAGCCTGTTTCATATTCTGTCTCTCCCTCTCTCTCTGACCCTCCTCTGCTCACGCTGTCTCTCTCTCTCTCTCTCAGAAATAAATAAAATGTTAAAAAAATTACTTTTCCAATTAAAAATTTTTCAAATTTCCAAAATTCATTTTTTGCAAATTTTGCATACACCAATAACTCATCTTACCTATTTTCTTCTTTTGCTGTCGACCAGCTGACTCTGTTATTGTTTCCTTCTTCTTTTCCACTGTAAAGACAGTAATAAGGCAAAAATCAATCATGTATTATGCTAAAGAAATGAAGGATGCTTTACCACAGCTGAACCAACAAAAGAAGCTCACGAGAAAGTTACACGCTGCCTTTGATCATGGTCATGAGTAGGTCAACTGATCTACTCCCACACCTACTAGCACGAAAAGGCAGATACAGCAATCTAAGACTAAGACATTACTGTAAGCATCACCAAACACCCATAAAGGACTGTATAAGGTCACAATAGTAATAACTAATGAAACATAATAAAAACTAAGACAGGTTTTAAGCCATCAGCTGAGGGTGATTGCCTTAGGTTGAGTCTAAGCACAATTTTGAGATTCTGCGGTCTCAGATAACTATGGTTAATTACAGCTCATCCTCCTATTTACTACAGAAGGTAGGAATGCATTCATTCTGGGGACTGGGGACTAAGTAAGAGGCATTTTTCTAGGTAGATAAAAAGATAAACAGGTGTCTGAGTGGCTTAGTCAGTTAAGCGTCCGACTTCGGCTCAGGTCATAAGCTCAAGGTATAGGAGTTCGAGCCCTGTGTCAAGCTCCGTGCTGACAGTTCAGAGCCTGGGGCCTGCTTCAGATTCTGTGTTTCTCTCTCTCTGCCCTTCTCCCACCTGGGCTCTGTCTGTCTCCGTCTCTCAAAAATGAATAAATGTAAAAAAAATTTTTTTTTAAATAAATAAAATAAAAAGATAGACATGATCCTTGCCCTCTAAGGAGCAATCTAGTGAGGGCAGACAATTGAATAACAATTAGAAACATTGCCAAGACAGACATATGCACAAGGTAAGGAGATCAGGAGAGTCATAAAAGCTAAGATTGGGGTGCCTGGCTGGCTCAGACAGTGGAGCACGTGACTCTTGATCTCAGGGTTGTGAGTTGAGCCTCATGTTAGGCATAGAGATTACTTAAAAACAAACAGATAAAGAAAGGTAAGACCAACTTCTTTGGATGCATTTCAAATATGATGATAGAGTAAAAGTAACCTTTTAAAGAGGAATAATGTAACATATTTAAATTTATATTTACTGTCTTTGATCTATCCACCCATCATAGTCCACCTTTGAATGCACTAAGAATAGGTATGTCAAAAATTACCTTTAGTTTATTCATATTCTTCGTTCTGTATATTATCTCAGCATACTTCCCTTACTAGCAAACAGTACAGTACATGTATTATTTCTAAAAGTTGTATTAAAGGGGTCCCTGGGTGGCTCAGTCTGTTATGCGTCCCACTCTGGCTCAGGTCATAATCTAGCAGTTCATGGGTTTGAGCCCCACATTGGACTCTGTGCTGGCTGCTCTGAGCCTGAAGCCTGCTTCAGATTCTGTGTCTCCCTCTCTCGCTGTCCTTCGCCTGCTTGTGCTCTGTCTCCCTCTCTCTCAAAAATAAACATCAAAACAAAAAAGAAAAGAGGCAAGTAACATAATAAGATTTGTGTCTTGAAAAGTTACTCTAGATGTACTATTTACTATGTACTATTTACTACGTACTATAGAGAATAAATTTGAGTGGCTGCCAGGAGGCCAATGAGGAGGCTACTGCAGTAGATGAGATGAAACAAGATACAAGTTTAGACCATGTGGTGGTGGCAGGTCTGGAGGGATGTGGAGAGACTGAAGGCTTTCAGGAAGAGAATAGTGACTTGAGGGTAGACTGCACGTACAGACTGAGAGAAGAAAGTATTCAAATCAGCAAATATTTGTGAAACATTTACCATGTGCCAGTCACCGTTCTGGGTGAATGGGTTATATCAGAACAACCACAAAAACCCTGTCCTAGTGAGGCTTTCATTTTAGCAAGTGGAGATAAACACTAAACACAATACATAAATAAGTCATATATTAGAAAGTGACAAGGACCACAGCGGGTAAAATAGATCGGGATCTGGAAAATGAAGAACAGTAGTGGTAGAAGAGATGAGCAGCCTGCAGTTTCAAAGACGGTGGTCAAGTTAAGACTCACAGAGGTAAACTTTGAAGATAGGAGGCTTAGACATCATAGAGATGAACATTCTAGGCAGGAGGAACAACCAGTAGAAAGGTCCCAGCACAGGCGTGTGGCTGATATACAGTGAATGGCATGCAGGTCAGTGTGACTGAAGCAGAGTGTGTTGAGAGGCAAAGAGGATCAGAGCAGTAACACAGGATGCTCTGTAGGCCACTGTAAGGACTCTGGCTTTACTTGAGTGAAAATGGGACACCGCAGAGGGTTATGAGCAGAGATGGGACATGATCTAAGGGTCTTTAAAAAAGGGTTATTCTGGGGCACCTGGGTAGCTCAGTCAGTTGGGCATCCAACTTCGGCTCAGGTCATGATCTCACGGTTCATGGGTTTGAGCCCCGTGTCGGGCTCTGTGCTGACAGCTCAGAGCCTGGAGCCTGCTTCAGATTCTGTGTCTCCCTCTCTCTGACCCTTCCCTGCTCATGCTCGTGCTCTCGCTCTCTCTCTCTCTCAGAAATAAATAAAAACGTTAAAAAAATTTTTTTAAATTTAATAAAAGGGTTATTCTGTGATATCTTGGGGACAGACTACAGGTAAACAGCACCTGCTGGAGACTGCTGCAATAACTCACACAAAAGAGGAAGATGTCTTGGACTATGGTAGTTATCAATGGAGGTAATGAAAAGGGATCAGATTCTGAATATACCTGAAGGTGGTCCAAAAGTATTAGATGCGGGGTGTGAGAGAAGAGTTAAAAATAATTGCACAAGGATTAAGGCCTGAGCAAGTAAAAGGACAGACTTGCCATTGACTAAGATCATGATTGCTAGAAATGAAGGAGGCTTGGAAGTGCGAAACAAGTATTCAATTTGGACATGTTGGGTTTGAAATATATGTTAGATATTACAATGTAATTGACCAAATTGATACATGAATCTTTAAAAAGTTTCTTTGAGTCTAGCTGACACATAATGTTACATTTCAGGTATACAAAACAACATAGTGATTCAACGTCTTTTCATGTTATGCTAAGCTCACCACAAGTGAGGCTACCATCTGTCATCACACAATGCAATTACAAGGATACATGAATCCTGCTAGGGATATAAACTGAGGTGTCATTGCCTAATATAGCACATGATTGAGTTCACCAAGGGAGTCAGTATAGGGATAAAAACAAATTTGGGGTCACCAACAATAGTAGGTTGAGAAAAGTAACCAACAAGGAAATTGCAAAAGAATAATCAGCAAGATAAGAGGAAAACCAGGTAGGTGTGATGCCTGAAAGTCAAGTGGAGAAAGCATATCAAAGATTCAGGTTTGCACTATGGGAAGCATGGAGGTGCCATTCACCACATAGGGAAATACTGGAAGAGGATCGCATTAGTGAAGGTAAAGATAATGAGTTTGGTTTTTATACGTTGAGGTACATTATCCACGTTGAATAAGTGAAGGAGCAGTAAACTACAATTTTAAAAGTATGAGTATGAGTTTGGTTTCTAATTCTTTGTTTGTTCTCCAACATTAGTATATCATTTAACCTTTCTGAGCCTCAATCTCTTTTCTATAGAGGGTAGTATTTATACAACTAGCCACAAATGGTTGCTGAGATGTTGCAAAGAAGAAAACTCTAAACGCTTATGAAGACGTAAAGGTATATCATAGAATACAGAAAGTCATAGAAATTTTAGGATACAAAAGTTATATTTAATCTTTAAAAGGTAGAAAAGAACACTAAATGCCACATCAAATCTGGAAGGAACCATTCACATTATATTTCTAGCAACTCCCTCAGCTGTGTCCTGTAGAATTCCTGCTTTACTTCAAAGACAGCAAACTCTACTTGTTCTTAACATTGTCCTCAAACTCTCCATCAACCTCCTTACGCATCAGAAACTTGGCTTATCCCTGAAGACACTTTTTTTTTTTTAATGTTTTATTTATTTCTAGGAGAGAGAGAGAGAGAGAGAGAGACCAAGGGAGGGTCAGAGAGAGAGGGAGTCACAGACTCTGAAACAGGCTCCAGGCCCTGAGCTGGCAGTCAGCACAGAGCCCGACGCAGGGCTCGAACCCACGAACCGTGAGATCATGACCTAAGCGAAAGTCGGACGCTTAACCGACTAAGCCACCCAGGCGCCCCCCTGAAGACACTTCTTAGTACTAATTATAACGACCTATTGGTCTCCAAACACACCTTCTTGCTAAAATATCCACATTTTTGCACATATGCTATCTTCTTCGCCTGTAATCCTTCCCCCATCTCACTCTCTATCCAAATTCTAGTTATCCAAGGAGGACAGCAAAACCATCTGTATCACAAACGCTTCCAGGGCTGCTCAAAACTGAATGGGATCTCTTTTTTAGAACCACCACAGCACATAACAAGTACTTCTCATGTCCCCTAGCACTGCCATTTGTATTGCACATTTTGCATAAAAATATCGAATACTGCATACATCTATATAAATATCTCCAATTCAAATTGGATTCACCTTTGCATTCCTGTAAGGTTTTTGTGTCAGTCGGTGCTCCTAAAGTATTTACTGTGAACATGCATGCGCTCAACGAACTTGACACGTTGAAGCTACGTCTAAAGGATGTTGCCATACTCACATTTTTTACTCTGTTTTTCCACCTCCGCTTTCAGTCTCTTGTACTTGTCTGTCCTGTAAACCAGGACCCAGGTTATGCCTGAAACATCAAAAGCAACATGCTAATAGACAAATGGTTATAACGGTCACAACAAACTGTTATTAGTGGTGACTGTTGGGTAAGGAAGGATTTCAACTTTTTGCTTTATATTTATATCTATATTGAAAAAAGTTAACTCTTTTCAAATGTTAAGACAACGAACTCTTCACCAAGACAACGGAGACATGATATGAAGGTGTCTCCATAAGTTCGCAAGTGAAATCTACCCTAGCGACCCTTCCCTCTCCTGTTCCCAAGTTACCCCAATTCCCTGCATGAACCCTCCCATCCCCACCCCAAGCAAGCAACGCTCGCGACCACTCCCTTGGTAGCCCGAGGGTCCCGAGTCTTGGGCTCCTTCCCCTGGGGAGGCGATCACGCGTCAGAGAAGCAGCAGCTCTCACCCTCGGCGAGAAGAGCCGTGCACACGGAGATGAAAACGATGAGCAGTGTGTCTGCGAACATGGTGCTCATCTTGCGCTTTCCTCTCTGCACTCCCACCCGCCAGGGGGGAAGCGCTCGAGAGCCGGCAAAAACGAAGCGAAAACGACTTCCCTAGATTTCGGGACCACCGAGCAACACTCTCTGACAGCCCGGAGTCATACTTCCGCTTCCGGGGCAGAGCGCCGGGAGGGCTACTTCCGGAGGGTTGCGTGGCCGCGCGACCACAGCGGGAACCCAGCCGCTGGGGCTCAGGCCCAGTCTCGCGAGAGCTGGGCCCTGAGCCACCGCGCCGGAACTGCGGCGGTGAGACTTTGCCCCTTGGCCCTTGCTCGTCGGGGTCTCGGGGCGCCCAGTTCTCTGCCGGAGCCCATTGTGGGCGCTCGTCCGCGCTTCTGCCTCAGCCCCGCCCGAAGGCCGGTTAGGTAGCGTAGTGAACGCCTGCGTTAGGTGCCAGGCCCCGGCTTTGGGGCTGGGGACGCAGAAATCAGTTAGTCGTGGCCGCTGGCTTCAAGGAACGCCCGTCCTAGCGAAGGAGAGAAACTTGTACACACGGTGTGATTAGGGTTTTAAGAGAGGTGTGGCCAGAATGCTGCTGTGACCCCGTTGAGGGGGTGGTCAGAGACAGCCTCGGAAGGAATCGAAGCAGTGCTTCGAGGGGTGGGAGTGCTTTGTGGGGAAGCAGAGGCCTTTCCAGGCAATGACGCGGGCGGTGGAGATAACGTGGTGTGTAGTGGAGCAGTGAGTGGTGAGTCCAGAGACGGGGTCATGAACCCAAATGCCTACGGTGGCTGCGTGTAAACATCTCGTGCAGGCCGAGCAGAAGGAAACGATGGGAGGGGCCAGGCATCAAAAGGGAGCGACAATTTTGTCTGGAAGGAGCAATTGGTACTCAACCTCCGACCAGTTTCCCTGGGGGAAGGAGCACCCAGTGTTCATTATCTTCGCATTTTCTAGGAAAATACAGAGATCTTGATCGTATGTGAAAGCTCAGTCTCTAAATGCCGGTAATTCGTCGTTTTAAATGGTGTAGAAGTGAAAGAAAATGCCTCAGAAGCTTGGTGTCAGCCTGGGTGGAGGTTTTCAGCCTTTTCACACTGTTACGTCTGTGTGGAGTATGTGTCTATGAAAATCTGGAAGCTAGCTGAACTGTCTCCGGTTGATTTGTACTTTTTCTCTTAAACTCCGATATACTTAGAGTTCTCCACTAATGCTCCAGTAATGGGCCTTTTTTAGTTTTATGTGCCTTTTGTCTCCTCTTCCAAGTCTTAGCAGCAAAGAGCCTGTCTCCTTTTAACAATGAATTTCTACCATGTGTTAGTAGGTACAGTGTTAGGCACTATGAAAGTCATAGTATTCCTGACTTTCAAGTTCGCCTTGGAAGTCACACATTATAATAAGATATAATCGAGGTTTTCGTAAAATGTGCGCAAGGCAAAATTGGTTCTTCTTGGAGGAGTTGGGAAGGCTTCCCATTGGAGCTAGATGGTGATAGGGCTAAAAGTTTTGATAGGATAGGTTTTCATTCAACTCTGTATCACTTGTGTAAATATTGAAGCACAAGAAAAGCATGGCTTTTTAAAAAAATTTTAGGTACGGTTGACATACAATGTTACATTAGCTTCAGGTGCACAGCTGTTACCCTGTGCTCACCACAAATGTCACTCCCATCTGTCAAGAACATGACCTTTGAAATCAGACCTGGTTTTCTGTTCTAGCTTTGCCACTTAATTGACACCTGTCCTTGAACATCTTGTCTGTGCATCTTCTTATGTGCAAAATGGTAATAATAACACAAGCTGCATAAAACTGGAAGACTACATGAAAGAGTATATCAGAAAGCATTTAAAGCTGTACCTGACACAGTTTCTCAAATCCAACATGCCATTGATGGTAAGATGAAACATTATAAGCTATTAAGAAAAAATAAACTAGTTAAACCATGACACACCACTGATTGTAGGATGCATCCCTTTCAGAGGTGTTAAAATGTGGGGCTCCTGGGGTGCTCATGCAGTTAAGCATCTTGGTTAAGCATCTTGGTTTCAGCTCAGGTCGTGATCTCACAGTTTGTAGATTCAAGCCTGACGTTGGGTTGTCCTTCAGTGTGCTTATTTGAAGTATTAGTAACAACACTGTTTCTAAACAAATGATTACTACTAGGCCAGGCATAAAGACGAGAGAAATTAAACCCCTGCTTTATGACAGATACAAATGGATATGGACTTTAGGTTTGAATGCTACCCTACTACGTGTGAGCTACATTACTACAAGTTATTTAACTTCTCTGAGCCTCACTTTTCTTTAGCTTTGTAGAGATAAAAATGCCTACCTTCCAGAACTATGTTGAGGTTTGTTTATATAGGACTAAGATCAACACTCTGGAGTCAGACCACCTGTCTTCAAATCTTGGCTTCACCACTCCACTAAATTTGCAATTTTAAGCAAATCATTTCACTGCACTGTGCCTTGGTTTTCTTGAATATGCAATGACATAATGATAGCAATGTCTAAATCCAAAGGATTGTGTTTTTTGAGATCATGTGGGTCAAGTGTTTGGAAGAGTACCAGGCTCATAGAAAGGGCACTTTAAGTGTTAACTGTTATTAAAGCACCCAGCACATAATCCTTGAACTAATTTTATTTTCGTTCTATCCATTTTCCTTGGATTCTTGTTCCCTTCAAAAGCTTCAGTTATGGGGCACCTGGGTGGTTCAGTTGGTTAAGTGTCCAACTTTGGCTCAGGTCATGATCTCATGGTGTGTGAGTTTGAGTCCCTAATCAGGCTCACTGCTGTCAGTGCACAGCACACTTTGGATCCTCTGTCTCCCTCTCTCTGTTTCTCTCTCTCAAACATAAACATTAAAAAAAAAAAAAAAAGGAAGCTTCAGTTACCATCTATCGACTGATGATCCATAAAGTAACATCTACAGCCTGAGTTTCTTTCCTGATTTTTGGACTTGATCTCCAACTGCCAAGTGGGCATTTCCATTTGGAGATCCCAAACTGAACCTATCCAATGCTTTTACACAAACTCCAATATTCCCTTCTTTCTTTCTTCTCTTATGAAGTAGCACCACCATCTGCCTCGTGTTTCAAGCCAGAAACGGGAAATATCCTCAATTATTCCCTTTTCTTTATCCTACACATCTAATCACCAAATGTGATAAATTCTCCCTCCTTCATTTCTCTTTCCACCACCCTCCTCCCCCCACCCCCCTGCAAAAATCTTTCAATTTCTTCTACTGCACTTTAGCTCAGGTTACCATTGTCTCCCTTTGCATTACAGCCTTCTAAATGGTTGGTCTCCATTTACACACCTGTCCCCTCCAAGCCATTCTTTTTATGTAGCCAATAGTGATCTTTCTCAACTACAAAGATGATTGGTATAGAGAACGTAGAAGAGGAAGATGTTGAGGGCAGCTCCCAAATTTTTTTTCTTGGGTACCTGAATATATTCACATTGGAGAAAACAGGAGAAGAATCAAATTATTAGGGGAAGATTTTTTCCCCCTACTAGTCTTGCAGGACTAGATAAAGACCTTCAGAAACACTAAGCACTGAAAAGATTATGAGGCCCCTTCCCAAACTATAATTGAAAATAAAACGAATGCTAAAGTGAAATGTGAGTTTATTGTCTTTTGGAATATCTTATTTTTTCAAATAACTTTCACTCTGTGCGTGTGGGTCCCAAGTATGCGTTTAATTTGCCTTTTAGGTAATACAGCACTCTTGTTTGAAGACAGAGATTGAGTCTTGTTTATTGTTGCATCTCCAGCTTTTGGAACATGGCCTGGCACAGAGAAGCTTCCCAATATATAATGAATGAGTGAGTGGATGATACTGCTGAGAGAGAGGACAATAGGTTGGACAAATATCTTGGAAGAATGGGGAATTTTAGCTTGACTTCGAATAAAAAGTGAAATTAGGATGTGGGCACAGCAGTGATCAAAAGCATTGAATTGGCAATGAGAAAGAGGGAAGACATCACAGTCTCTATGTAGTAGAAACAACCAATATGTGTGAAGAGAATATATGTTCAAAAGAAATAGAATTGACTAGGTAAAGTAGCTGAATTATATCTAGAAGAGGTACAAGGTTGAATTTCAGGAGATCTTTAAATCTGATACTGTACAAAACTTTGTGTGCACATTTTTTCCCTGAATCAAAGTCATAGTTTTTAAATCAAATTCTCAAAGGAGTTTGTAAATAATAAATGTTAAGATTTATGTTGTATATTTGAGAGACTGATAAGAAGTCTTAAGTTTGATGCTGTAGCCATTTAAGGCTCAAGTATTTTTACTACAGGGGCACCTGGATGGCTCAGTTGGTTAAACAACTGACTCTTGGTTTTGGCTCAGGTCATGATCTTGTAGTTAGTGCAAGCTGTGTGTCAGACTCTGTCCTGACAATGCAGAGCCTGCTTGGGATTCTCTCTCCCTTTCTCTCTGCCCCTCCCCTGTTCATTTTCTTTCTCTCTCTCACACACACACAATAAATAAACAATAAAAATATCTAAAAGAAAGAAAGGGGCAGAAGAGAGGGAATGGGAACCTCAGCTCTGGAGATAAAGCCTGAAAAGTTGGGCCATCAAATTGGAAAGGGAAAATTAAAATTAATCTTTGTTTGCAAATGACAAGACCTTATATGTAGAAAACTCCAGAGATTCCACAGAAAAAAACCAACTGTTACAACTAGTAAACAGATTCAGCAGAGTGGCAGAATACAAAATCCACATACATAAATTATTCCCATTATTTTCCATAATAATGAATAATCCAAAAAGGAAATTGAGAAGACAATTCCATTTAGAAAAACATCAAAAATAAAATACCGAGGAATAAATTTAATCAGGGAGGCAAAATATTTGTACACTGAAAATAACAATACTCATGAAAGAAATGATAAGACACAAAGACACTTTGTGTTCATGGGTTGAAAAAGACTTTACATTGTTAAGATGTCAATACTACCTTTAACAGTCTACATATTCAGTGCAATCCCTGTCAAAATTTCAGCATTTTTGCAGAAATAGAAAAATCCACCCTGAAATTCTATCAAACCTCTAAAGACCCTGAGTAACCAAAGCAATCTTGAAAACGAATAAAGTTCAAACTCTCCTACTTCCTGATTTCAAAACTTCCCTCCAAGCCTTGGAAATCAAAAAAGTGTGATACTGGCATAAAAACAGACATATAAACCAGTGAAAAAGCATAGAGCGCTCCAAAATAAGCCCCTGCTTATATGGTTAAACATTTTTCAACAAGGGTACCAAGACCATTCAAAGGCTAAAGGACGGTCTTTGC